GTAATTATTTTTAATTTGGGCCCGTATTTGTAATTATTTTCACTTTCCGGGCCCTTATTTGTAAATTCCCCTAAAATAAATTACTTCTCTTTTGTAGATGCCTATTGAAATCAGTTAACTGATAGAGAATGTTAAATTTTAAATTATAAAAATAGCTTATCTAAATTGTCATCATCATCGTCTTTATTGATATTCGTTTTAACTATTATAAGCTCACCAAAATCATGTCCATATTTGCATCATTCTGTTCGTTAAAACTTACAGGGAACGAAAAATATGTGTTCAGAAGTACCTTATATTAATTAAGAAATCTTTAGATAAATCATCTACAAAGGTTTACTGGACCTTCCGAAACTGATTTTAATAAAAAATCATTAGTAGGTTAGTGACGTCCATTTCGTGTAACCCGAGCTTCCGGACCTCGATCGGCTGGTTCGGATTCGGACTTCGGATTGAACCTACGAAGTGCTAATACAAGCATAATGCGAGCTAGCTAATATTATGCAAATTTACGATCTGAGTAACTTTACTTAGCTTATCGGTTAGCGGGTTTATTAGTAAAATTCGCTAAAATTTGGGCATAATTAATTGGGTCCGGAGGCTGGGTTACACGAAATGGTAAAATTTTTTGGACATCACTAACCTACTAAAAATTTTAGCTTAACGTAATCACATGATTGTTTCAATTTATTAACAAAAAAATTCTCCCATGACCATTACTCACAGCAACTGCATCTATTCGATGTACCCTTGTTTTAATACGTAAAAAATTTAATGAAAATTTATATCTGATATGGGACTAGACGTACGTACTGTACATTTGATTTTATTGGATGATCGACCACTCCAATAGGGCGTGCATTTAGGAAAGTGACGATATCCTAATTGGGATCAAACTACACATAAATGCTCGATTAAATATAATATTTCTAACTCGAAATATTATAAACCTATTATATGGAATTATATATAACCTTGCTAGTAAAACCGTTATTACACTATACTGCTATAACGGATTATAATATATAAATTCATTATATATAATGTGATAATGGAATTTTATTATAACGGCAGATTTTTTCAGCCAGACAGGTCCGTTATAGTGTAAGTCCGGAGCGTTTATCATATTACACAAACGCGTAAGTATAAATGTGAATACACCGGGTTGCATCAAAAATACGTTTCTGATATTTTTATTAGGAATGCATCAAAAACGTAACTCCGGCCATCAAAGCGCACCTTCCTCTCTGGACAACTTTGTACCGGACAATTATTAGCTATATATACGTACTGTAGTTAATGCTGTAATGGAAAAGGCAATCAATATATTTTAAAGAGCATTATATAAATTTATATCTTTCGTATTAATTTATCAATACTATGGTATACACTTTTGAAAGGTAGTTTTCTTGGTAACGATAATTGATATTAAATGAAAAACCAATTTTATGTTGCTTTTATTTAAAATATGTGTGCTCTAATAAGCGTATATATATCTATATTAAAAGTCTACGAAAGTTTGTATTTGATTTATTTACCGTAAAAGATATTATACATTCAACCATGAATTAGACCCACAGAATATCAAATATATGCTTTAAAATTTGTCTTGTATACTGTCTTTTACGGTACTATAAAAGACATATACAAATCGATAACTATAGCGATAGAGATAGTTGATTGGTAATTAATTGTGGTATAATAAAAACGATAATAGTTACAATTAAAATATTAATAATAGGTATAGTAGATATCGCAGCAGAATTCTTTGCACCATTGTTTGTAGAACTGCTATTACCATTGCTACCATTGCTACTGCTATTACTATTTATATTCTTAGTAAAAGCAGGGTTTTCAGCACCGCCTGGAGAAGCAACTACATTTAAAAGTTTTAAACGTCTATCTTTTTTTACAATCGTGTTACCATCATTATATGACATGACCATAGTAAAATCACCAGATTCAAAATTGAAATCTGACTTAATTTCTGAAGCCACGGTCCATGTGTACACAGGGAAAGGTTTTGCTATTTCAGAGGATGTTAAAGGAGTGTCGGCAATATCAATAAGTTTAATATTATTAAATTCATCATATAATGACAATGATACTTGGGACGGCGGAGTCTTGCCGTTAGGATTTATAATAATGAAGATAGGCAATGCTTCGCCGGCAGAGTAAGAAATGTTCCATTTTAAGTAATAATAGTCTAAGGCTTCAGGGCTTGTGTTTTGTTGCGTGGAGATTGGAATCCAAGGTAAGCCATTATTATCACTATTATTTGTTGCTGCGAAAGCAGCTATTAAGCCAAAAGATAATTTAGACCTCAAGTATTTTTAAGATTGTACAGTATGTGCACGTACCTTCAATTCCCAAAAAGTACACGACAAAAATCGGTAAAAATGACTTTATCATTCTAATATCGTTTATCAAGAAGAGTATTGAATATATGTATATATATAATAAATGCCGTTAATGAAAAAAATAGTATCTAGGATCGACAAATAATATGTACATCAAACGCGATATGAAACTTTTACATAAAATGTTGTCAAGTATTTGTTCAATAAATATTGTTGGGTATTTTTTCAATATTCTTTCATTTGCATTAATTTATTGCAAAGCTAAACAATAGATCGAAAAAAAAAAAATTATAATTCTCTTTGTAGATGATTCAATTGCTTATGTATTTATAGATAATTGACTTAATAAAAGTTATATACTTTTGCTGAACTAGGATGTTAGTCCGAAAAGCTATGTCTAAAATGGTTATTTTAATTAGCAATTGTATTAGCATTTGTTCAGATGATTACATTGTGTAATTTAAACTAATAAAATTTTTTTCATATTGTATGACTTTCTAGTAATTAAAAGGCAGTTGTCTTTTAATTTCAGCAAATTGATCAACATTCTCAATTGAAGATTTTTACTAGCTTTATCTAGAGCCTTCTTTAAATTTAGAAACTCATATCCAATGAAATTTGGTTTTTTTGCCTTGAAAATCACCCTACGACATTTACGATCGGATTAACTTGGACAAAAAATAAATCCGAGTACCGATTCATGTCAATAGTTATTCGATAAACTATTGAATCAAAGATGATTAACATATAAACATGAACTGGTACTCGGGTTTATTTTTTTTTCCAAATTAATCAGATCGGAAATGTCGTAGGGTGATTTTCAAGGCAAAGACCCCTTCGTCAAATAGACAAGAAATTTCCGGAATTCTGATATTTAATATGAAATAAGCTTTCGGTGAAATAAACTATGAATGAGCATAGAATAAGCTGTTAGTGAAATAAACTATGAATGAGCTTTCTGCCTGTGAATTAATCGTGCCTACGAATTGATTGTCGTGAAGTGATATGGATCCTTAGAATGTATTCTGAATATGATTCTAGATATAATTCTAAATAAATAATTGGTTTTAGAGGTAGGATATACGTGTAGTACAATTATATTGAGTGATGCCTTGTAAATCAAATTTTCTATTTTTAATTTTATTGGACTAATTCCTATATAACTAGTGATAACGAGTTGATAACGAATTAAAGCATAATTTCATGTGTCTTCTAATTATCATATTTTTAAACTTTTAAATGAGGTAGTAAATAAAATTTTCTGATTCTAATAATAGTAAAATTATTAAGATTGGTTAAATGAAAATATAAAAGTTTTTTTTTCGTTTTTTATCTTTACTTGCTATATACTGGATATACTGTATATTTAAGTTAGGGCTCTGCAAAATGCCCATGCCAGGCACTAGTGCCTCATGCCATGCCCATCCTATAGGCACAAAAGTGCCAGGAATTATTATTAAGCATGGGCACAAATCCCAGCCTTTTTATAGGCATTGGCACAAATGCCAGGTACTTTATAGGCACGGCACAATATGCTAGACAAAAAGGTGCCAGGCACAATTAATTAATAAATATTAAATTTTTGTGTCCATCCCCATGCCAAGTTTTTGTACCCGTGCCTATACCTATGCCAAATTTTTGTATGCCTATGCCAAATTTTTGGACCAATGCCCATGCCAATGCCTGAATTTTTGTTGGACATAGGCACGAGCCCGGGTTGCGGACCCTTAATTTAAGTCTATTGTATCGTATGTCGCATCTGAAGTTGCAACTTTAGATATCTAAAGCAGCACCTGACCAGAATTACATGCATGAAGATCTAATTTCAGGGGCTTAATTCTAGTCAGGTGCTACTTTAGATATCTAAAGTTGCTGTTTACAATATCAGATATTAATTACTAATTATATTTTTATGTATATATAGTAATAATTGCAATAATTATACGTATACTGAAGAAAAAGCTTATAAATTAATAAATATTAATCTATCGCATATATATAGAGGATGGATAGATAGATACACGTAAAGATAAAAACGGTAAGCTGGATTAAATTTTAGAAATTTTTTTAGGGCCTTTCTTGTTATCCTTTTGTTTAGGTTAGATTAGTGTTTAGGGGTAGTTTTATTGGTAAAAAAAGTATAGGTGGATTTGTAATAAAAATACCCCAATCACTATATCAAGATCACGGGGTATTTAGCAAAAATACCCAGCATAAGTTAATCCCAGCAAAAAGCTGCCACATTTATCGTTATTATTAATGAACCCAATTCATTAATGTCGATTAACACTAAAGTTGGTTTTCGGACGTCCTAAAATTTTTCCGAAAAATATTCTAGAATAAATATGGAATTAACTAAAATTCAGTTTTTTTTTGGTTTTCGGACGTGATTAATATTAAGCGACAATTTGCGGAGTAGCTATCCGAAAAAATCCTTAAGTCCTAAAATACCCTTTTGCCAAGCACACTTACAAGAACCTATCATATTTGAGTATTAAACCCGGATTTTCAAATTAAATATGCAGTAATAAGATAGTCTAGAACAAAAAACGTTACCTTCATTCCACAGTATAATTTGATATGATCCAATAAACTCTAAGCATAATTTTATCTTCTAATCAAAGTTCACAGGGAGTTTGATCTTTTTTTGCACGGTGAATGTTTACATTTCGTTTGAAGCTACGACATTTTGGTGATTGTTTATTTTTATTAGTGAAATGTAGTACTCCGCAAATCAAATCAAAATTTGAATTTGTATAAATTTGTATCAAATATTTGATCAAATATTTGATTCAAATTCAAATTTTGATTTGATTTTGCGGAGTACTAGTGAAATGTTACGTTCTCAAAGTATTACTGTATTATACAAATAATTTTAATCGGGCAATTGATTTACACCAGCCAATCAGACGAATGATTCGTGCTTGTGAAACGTGTCGTCATAATTATGTTTCGTGATGGATTTCACCGATTTTCGCGTCTAGTTTTTTTTTTTTACGCGCAATCCCACATTTTCTTACGCTTCAAATTTTTTATATAAACCCCCTCCCCTCCTTGTGTGTTCAGTATTATTTTTTGGGCGGGCACTGTTAGGCCTCGACAGTAACTAGACATAGATATTTATTGTTCGAGTAAATAATGTGCTCTACCCAAATCCTGGGCAGGCAATAAATTTGTCCTGGTTGTTTAGTTATAAACAGACCAGTAACGCCCTCTTTTTTTTTTTGATTTGCCAATATAGCGGGTGTTTATGAGTGTGGTGTTGATTTAAAAAAAAAATTGTTTTGGTGATAATTTTACATTGCAATGATAAAACTAACGTGATATACCTAGTACGTTAATTATTGTCGGGGATGATGCTGAAATCGGATGATGCTGAAATTTGGGGGTCTTAATTTGAAAATATAAACCCTACTAA